ACACTGCTCCCCTCTTAGATCTGAGCGTCCCGATTAGCAACTCTATATGTAGGCCCAGGGTGGCGGAATCTACAGGACTCTCCAACGCTGCATAAACCCCTCAGAAAGAAATAACAGTCTACTGATTTTGGACACGATCTCTTCGGGTTAATGCAACACACAGTAATTCGTACGCCGGTTTCTCGGAAGATCACTTCAAGCATGCTTCTGACAATCTTTCAGTCCAGATTATCTAGTGCATGGCTTATCTTGGGTAAGGCCAAATTCTTGATGTCGTAATTGCACACAATTTTCTTCAAATTAGTTAGAGTACGCCATATATCCTCGTAGCTTGCCCGGTCTGTATACGACTTTCTGGTCACCATATACAGCAAAGATCGAGACCATCTTCTGATCTCAGTACTCTTCCAACTTTAGGCTGCTGGTTTTTTAACTCGTCCAAACGACCGAACTTCTTATAAAATACAGATGAGATTCCTTTAGTCATCTCAAGCTCTTGGACAACACAGTGGGCTAGAGAGTTATGCGGAACACTAAAAAGATCCTGCTGAACTTCTGTCGTCACGCCGGTTCTAGCACTCTTTCTCTCTGCGTAATTTGACATAAACTCATTAAAACTTGGTCGCCGGTCATGTTTGATCTCATGTTGAAGGTTTCGGGCTTCTTCTGTTTCATTTCAGCCAGCATAAGGTGCAAGACGATTTATGTAAACCACTTTTGGTTTACCTTTCGGCAACTTCTTAATTCGGTATATTACGTCATTTATTCTCTTTTTAATTTCATACGGACCCTCCCATTGTCTTTGCAGTTTAGAAGACAAGCCACGTCGACGTTGTGAATTATAAAGCCAAACAAGATCACCTACTTCATAGCTTTCATTCTTGCATCGAGAATCGTATTGATCTTTCATTCTGTCACCGGCTAACTGGATGTGTTGTCGAGCAAGTCGTGAATGTTGTTCATTCTTAACTTTAGGCGGTCGACATAATCTTCGCTTGCAACATGTTCTTCTGAAGGTATGTAGCCAAACTCTAGGTCGCAGGGCAAACGAACTTCACGACCTAACATCAGGCAGGTTGGAGTCTGGCCTGTAGTTTCATTTACTGCGGAGTGGTAGGCCATTAGGAATAAATGAATGTGCTGGTCCCAATCTCTTTGATGTTCTGACACAACTTTGGACAGGTGTTTACCCATCGTTCGGTTCATTCTCTCGACCATTCCATCTGATGTGGAGGATGCAGGGGTGTCGTTCTTGTCTTATTGATACCAATCAATTTACAAACGTTTTGGAAAAGGGTTAACTCGAAGTTTCGCCCTTGGTCGGAGTGGATCTCCAAAGGAACACCAAATCGACTGACGAATTCTTTAACAAGTACCTCTGCAACGGTAGCAGCTTCTTGATTTGGTATAGCGTAGGCCTCAGTCCATTTCGTAAAATAATCTATAGCTAGCAGGATATATTTATTTCCATCATTCGTCTCTGGAAGTGGACCTGCAATGTCGATTGCTACTCTTTCCGTAGGACAACTAACATTGTACTGTTTCATAGGTGACCTCTTTTTACCAACTGGACCATTACTGGTTGCACACAGTTCACATTTCCGGCACCTTCCGGGATCTTCTTACATCATCTTTACAGTTCACCCAATTGAACCGTTCTCGAACCTTTTGCAGAGTCTTCGTAATACCAAAGTGTCCACCTGATTCACCGTCATGTAACTGACGCAATACTTCTGACACTTTACTTTTAGGTACAATCAACTGAAGCTTAGTTTCTCTACCATCATCGTTCTCAAAGGTTCTATAAAGAAGATCATCTTTTTCTGGCATTTCTGGAATTGCTCTAGGCAATTTCATTGGCTCCAGTAACACTTGACTTCAGGACTACATGCACTAATTTCTTGCCAAGAAGGCCTTTTACTTCGACGCATCCAATCCAATACTCTTTTTATACATGGATCATCTGCTTGAGCGTCTTGTAGCTGTTGTGGCTGCCATTGATCATTAATTACGGTGGTTCGTCTCACGGGGCAAAGTCGTTTTTCTAATTCAAGACAATGATTACGATTTGCACTGTATATCCGTCTTGATTGAGCATCAGCATTTGAATGACTTTTTCCAGCCCAGTGCTCAATCTGTTCTAGCTTTCTGACTGTTGTATTATTTTATAGCACTTTGGACGGAAGGTGACCTTCGTTGTTACCATTCCAACATCTGGGTTCACGTCTCTTCGGCATCATGTTTCGTTCCTCACTCTCTTCAGAGGTTCGTACTTGATAGCTCCGTGAAATTTGACTAGCTGTTATATGTTCCAAAGCAATAGCGAGCGCTTCATCTAGAAGTTTCGGTCTTGCTAGTTGTAAAGCTTTCTGTAATTCACTTTCTTTTAACCCATTGACGAAGGTATCTGCAGCAATTTCTTCCAAAATGTTGTCTGGTACCTCCGAATAAGCCAACCGCACTATACGAGCAACATCTGCTTCAAACTCTTGCAAATTTTCACTTGCTCGTTGAACTCTACTTCTTAGTTGCGTCTTGTAGACTTTTTGTAGATGGGCATCTCCGTAACGTTTGTCTAGTCGAGTGAACAAGGTCTGGTAACATTTTTCTTGGCCCTTAGGAATCGATCTTAGGATATACGCAGCATCACCTCGCAAAGCAGCAGTTAAGGAAACAGCTTTTTCTTGTTCTGTCCAATGATTGGCTGTCGCAATAGCTTCAAATTGTTTAAGGTATATGGACCAAGAGGACTTTCCATCAAATGGTGGCAATTTGAATCTCATATGATGTGTCGTTTCGTCTCTCGGTGATTCTTCTTTCACTACCGGATCTAAGGCTACCGTATTAATGGGTGGTAGCACTTTCGTATTAGTTATCATGGACTCTAATTGTTTGATCTTCTCTTCTACGTTGTTTACATTTTTCTGTGTCTGACCGAATGTTTTAGAGACTTCTTCAAATTTCTCATCGTTCTGAGTACATACTTCGTCGAATCTTCTTGAAACCTTTTCGAGTTTCTCGTCGTTTTGTCGAGCTATTTCTTTAATAATTTGAGATGTTTCATTTAATATTTCATCAGTTTTTTTAGAAGTTTGTTCAATCATTTGAGACGTTTCATCGAATCTTTTGGAAACGTTCTCGAATTTATCATCAATTTTTTTAGATGATTCTTCAATCATTTGGAGTTCAAATTTCTTATCATTTTTTCTCGAACGCTCTTGATCTTTCTAATTGAAAATGAAATGTCTCTGGGTCATCTCCATTATTGTTAAGATCATTCTTTAGTCGTTCCTGGAGGATCTTCTTGGACCCGCTGCAGTCTTCATCGCGTTCTTCTAGTTGCTCACGCAACTGTTTTACTGAAAGTTACACTAGCAGCATCTTTGGTCAGGCACACACGTACTTTTTAAATGTTCTTTCATACAAAGATCACTACCGAACTACTCGGATGTTCCGGACGAACAATACTTTTCAAAAATTCAAAAGTCTTTTTCAAAAATCACTGTTGGATTTATTTTCAAATCTCACACCGGACACTAACTGTAGCGAGATTAAATAAAACGAGCGGTTCTAATTTATATAAATATATTTATTTATAACTTTACAGTTCGGTACTCTCTTATCAACTAAACTTAACTCCTAATTCCGTTACATATATATATATATATATATATATATATATATATATATATATATATATATATATATATATATATATATATATAAAGGCTATATACTGGAACCAGAAAGCAGTAGTAAAGGTGAACGATATAGAAACAAATAATATACCGATTGCGAGAGGGGTTAGGCAAGGATGCGTCTTGTCTCCGACGCTTTTCAACGTGTACTCACAGGTCATATTCAGAAAAGCCTTATGGGAAAGAAAAGAGGGAATAAGAATTGGTGAAGAAATCATAAACACCATGAGATTTGCAGATGACACGGTAATTATGGCTGAGAGTATAGAAGATCTACAAACTTTACTAGATGCAATAAATAGTGAATGCATTCAAATGGGACTTGACATCAACACAGATAAGACCAAATTTATGATAGTATCAAGGAGTCCAATAAATAATAAACAACTAACTCTTGGTGGACAGCAAATAGAAAGAGTGACAAAATATAAATATCTGGGAGCTTACATCAACACAGAATTAGATCCAGACCAAGAGATATGGCAAGGACAGCCTTCTTAAAATTCAAACAATTGTTCTGTGACAAAAATCTGAATATTGCGCTGAGACTGAGGTTTGTTGAATGTTACGTCTGGTCGCAATTATTGTACGGGGTAGAAACATGGACACTAAAAGCGCAAATAGTTAAAAATATTGAAGCCTTTGAACTTTTGATATACCGGAGAATGTTGAGAATCCCATGGACTGCCAGGGTCACCAATGAGGAAGTGCTGAGAAGAATGGGTCGAGTCAAAAAATTGTTAAGAACGATAAAAGTACGCAAGACTGCATACCTTGGACACATACTAAGAAATAATAAATATAGTCTTCTGCAGGTCATCATGCAGGGTAGAGTCGATGGCAAAAAGGGAATAGGTAGAAAGAGGAAGTCATGGCTGCGAAATATTCGAGACTGGACAAACATGACTGTAGACGAATTATTCCACGTTGCAAAAGACAGAGAAGCTTTTAAAAATGTGGTCGCCAACCTCCGTTAATGTGGACGGCATAAGAAGAAGAAGATATATATATACCAAAGTTACTATGTTCTAGAAAGTTCCCACCTCTAATTCTAATTAAGTCAAATACGTGACGGATTGTTCTCTTGCGGTCGAGGGATCTATGGATGATTCACGATATCTGAGATGCTTCTAGATGCAACCGTTAGGCGGGCCACGCTGAATGCATGTTCGTAACAATATATTTAGCGGAGAATTTTTTAACAGTTTATCTAATTTGCTTTTTTTCTATATATTCTATTTATTCTGGTATCTAAAATCGTAACTGACCATAACTAATGACTATTTTTGAAATTATACATAGGTTGATAGTATACTTGAAGTGATTGAAAAAAAGGAGAAAGAATTAGAAGCAAAGGAAAGGTTAAAAAAAGTCCCGAATTTCAACTTAACGCTTCAAGAACCACCGGACGACTTTCGAGAAATAAGTGTTTATCCATCGACTGTAGAAATTACCACAGAAAAATCTCCATTTCTAAGACCGAATATTGTGAAGGGCCCTTATCCAGATATTAATACTTACTTAGATATACAATATCGCTTATTAAGAGAAGACTTTGTACTGCCTCTAAGAAAAGGAATATGTAGGTAAGTTTTGAAAAACAATAAATATAATTTTTAATATTCCTTAAGTAAAAGTGTGATGTACTGAAATATATATATATATATATATATATATATATATATATATATATATATATATATATATATATATATATATATATATATATATATATATATATATATATATATATATATATATGTTTAATAATTGGACATTAGTATTTATTGCAGATTTTCTTCTCGTTCTTCTTCGACAGTTTCCCATTATGAGTTCACCGTTTTAACCCTCCAGAGGTTTCTATCCTCCCAGTCACTTCCTCTAAGATCTCTCTCCATCATCCCATTCCCCTCATAACTGATTTTCATCTTCGTCTTCTTGCTGAAGTTTCCCATTCCAGTAGTCTTTTTGGTCATGACACAATGGTCTGGAATTCTTTGAACCTGACCTTAACATTGTAGTTCAGTTTTTCAATTTTTTTGTTATTGAATATTCTACTTCAATCCTGTTCCATAGTTTCTACGTCCTTATTCATTCCCTTGTGGTAATTTGAAATCATTTTCTTATTTTATAGCGTTTTGTTGTTGTCACTAGCCATATTCCACTTCGTATAAGCTAAGGTAATGTTTTCTACGACGCTGTGAAAAACTCTTTTTTTTTATTTTTTGTTTTCTTTGATGAGAATGTTGTTGCATATCAACCCATGAAGTGCTTTCCTAGAGCTATTTTCATTTCTATAAGATATGTAATTTTTGTTATTGAATCATATAGTACGTAGGATAGGGATCCGATGCAATTGAAGAAGAATTGACCCAAATTGAGACTACCCCAATTTTCCATTTAAATTTATAGTTTTTATTTTTCATTTTTCTTTTCGGATCAGAAGATGGTTATTCTTAAGGCAGGATCGCCATGTAATATTGGGCTCTTACCCGGCCAGCCCAACTGATTATATATATTTCGGCGTCTAACTCTACTCACGTTTATATAGGTATGCATGTTACGAATTTATCGTAATAATCAAAACATCATCAAGCGATGTTTCGATTATTACGATACATTCACAAGTTTATATTTTAATTATTAAATGTAAAGCCCTATATTTAAACAAAAATTTGTGTGGGATATTCAATATTCTGTCTAGCAGTAATATTTGAAACTAGCTACTAGCTCATCACTAGGCAAGATTATATTAAAGTAAAAATAGTAAAATATAGTAAACTTTTGCTTATTTCTTAAAAAAATCTAATCCCACGTTACTTAAGACTGTGTTGTAGTAGTTTTCATCTTTTAGGTATATCAACAACCCAAAAGATAAACAGCAAGACATTAAAGTTTACGAAGGCGTCAAGTTTCTCAAAGCGGAATCTATAAACGATCAAAATTGCCAGAGAATTCAATTCGATTTCTCTAACAAAAAGACAAAATTTGAGTACGAGAATTCCAAAAGATTTATGTTTGGTTCTTTGTTGTGTTTCACAGATAATAGATTTACCACACTACTTTTTGGAAAAGTTGTAGAACGAAAGGTAGAATTGCTAGGGAATGGTCAGCTCATCGTTGGATTTAATTCAGACATGATGTTACCTGCAGATCTTTATGACAAATCTTTTTTGTTGGTAGAGAGTAAAGTGTATTTTGAACCTTATTATCAAGTTCTTACTGTTTTAAAAAATATGCCTATTGAACATTTTCCGATGGAAAGATATATCATACAAGTGCGCACAGACACAAGACCTCCACAGTATCTCCTGAAAACAGATCCCGTTTTCTATACTATAGAGCGTACCAAATTTTGGCCTTTGGATTGGGGCGATCGACAATTTTATGGATTGAATGAAGCCCAAAATAAAGCTTTTCAGTCTGCGTTAACCCGGGAATTCGCAATTATACAAGGGCCTCCAGGAACGGGCAAAACCTTTCTGGGTTTAAAAATTGCTAGAACAATGTTACAAAATCACGAAGCATGGTATAAAGACTCTCCCATGTTAGTAATTTGTTTTACAAATCATGCTTTGGATCAATTTTTGGAAGGATTATTGCCAACAACACATGAGGTAAGTCAACACCGTTTTTTATTAATTTGGTAGTACTAATAGAAATTATAACATATAATAAAAATGATATCTTTTTCAATTGTCTAAAAACCTTGATTGTTGATACGGACAATTAAAATTGTATAAGTACCGACGAACGACGAACTTAAGTAGGAATGTAACGCCCGTGGATGTATCTGATTGGGTACCTGGCCTATTCGTCCGGAACCGAAATTTCTACCGCTTACCGCACCGTACCCCAGCATTCCGACCGGATCAGGATTTAGGACCGACCTATAAGAAAGTATTTCAACTGCTTAATGCTTATGATAACTTTTTATTTTATTGAACTTTTTTCTGTAGAAAAAGACAATTCTGCATCTACATATATTTGTTCCGTCCAGACTAAACAACCCATTTTAACTGAATTCAAATTTTTACACAGTGTCATAGACCTGTCCAGGTTTTTTAGTGTGGATTCCACCCCATATATTTTTGAAATTTCCAGCAATGATATTTTTATATATGAATAATAAACTTGCCCCGCGCGAGGGATCCAATCAATTGTCACCGACAGTTTGTCTTTGTCTTTTATTTCTTCACCTTGAGACCGATATAAGAACCCACCACTCGTCTGGGTGATCCTTATAATATATTGGATTGACGGATTGACGGTCGTACTCCTTTCCGGATATATAAATTTCATCTAGGTACCTTCTAACATCTACAGCATAATGTGGAGGTGCACACTATATATATATATATATATATATATATATATATATATATATATATATATATATATATATATAAATATTATATATATATATATAAATATTTATATATATATATATATATATATAATATTTATATATATATATATATATATATATATATATATAATATTTATATATATATATATATATATATATATATATATATATATTATATATATATATATATATATATATATATATATATATATATATATATATATATATATATATATAGTGTGCACCTCCACATTATGCTGTAGATGTTAGAAGGTACCTAGATGAAATTTTTCCGAACAGGTGGATTGGTAGACGTGGACCTATTAAATGGCCAGCGAGGTCACCAGATTTCAATTGGATTATTTTATGTGGGTCCATCTGAAGAATGTTGTGTATCAAAAGAAACCAGCAAATATTTAAGAATTACAACAGAGAATTCGGACAGCAATAAACAATATTTCTCAAGACACAATAAACAAGGTTCAACAAGAATTTGTACAACGTTTGGGTTACTGTCAAATACAGCAAGGGCTGCAGTTCGAAGAAACCTCAGTGCCGAGAGACAGTTCTTGTATTTATAATACAGAACACGATACTGGTACGTTTCGAGTGAGGGGAGTAGGCAGATTGAGACCCCGAACTCGAACCGAACCGTATCCCTTGATAATGACTCCAAAATGGGAGCCGAAACGTCGAGCATTAAATTCTCAACGCGGTTCTTCCCGAGAACCTAGTGATTTTCATTCATCTGACCGCGGAAATCTATCCAAACATATATTATATATATATATATATATATATATATATATATATATATATATATATAATATATATATATATATATATATATATATATATATGAAACTTAGAGCTAAGATTAATATTATTACTAAAATTAATATCAAACTCACCAGTCTTCCGGGTTGAACCGCGTCGATATTCATTTTGCCGAGCTTTCGGCATCCTCTCTGATGCCTTCCTCAGGGCTTCCGAGGTCTCAGTCTCCCGAGACCCCAGACACTACTACACTGTTCACTGATCACTGCGCTGTCACTACTGTAGTGACAGCGCAGTGATCTGGAATGAAGAGAGCATGAAATTCGCTGTGCAAGCCGTTTTAGATAAGCAAATGGGGTACCGAAAGGCTTCTGCTAATTTCCACGTTCTTCAGATAACACTTGAGAGACGCATAAAAAGGCTCGCGAACTTGGGTTGTCAGCTAGTAAATCGTCTAGAAAAATGCTTGGATGTTATAAAAGTGTTTTTTCCAAGGAACAGGAAGAAGAATTAGCCCAACATATTGTAAATATGGAAGAGAGGCTGTTTGGCCTTACACTAATGGAACTACGCCATTTAGCGTTTGAATTAGCTGAAGTCAATGGAATTGATCACACCTTCTTCAACAGGAGCAAAAAAGCTGCTGGCAAGACTTTCGATGCGCTCTGGGGAGCAAACGTCCCTGGCGCGAGCTAAGGGATTCAATCGAGATGCAGTTAATAAATTTTTCGACCTGTTAGAAGATATTTTAAAGAAATATAACATTTCCTCTAAGGATATCTATAATGCTGATGAAACAGGAATCACTACAGTTCCTAATAAGGCATCAAAAATTGTAGCGCTGAGGTGGAAGAAACAAGTAGGTGCTTTAGTTTCATCTGAAAGAGGAACACAGCCGAGACCTGTATGAGTGCTGCTGGAAACTACATGCCCACAATGTTTATATCTTCACAAAAAAGAGAAAATCATGCATTAATGGACGATGTTCCAGCAGGATCCTTTGCTTTTTTGCATGAAACAGGGTGGATTACAAGAGAAAGCTTTTTAGTTTGGTTCAAGCAATTTGTTGAGTTTTCAAACTCAAAACTAGACAAGCCAGTCTTACTTCTGTTGGATGGACATAGAGCGCACTCAAAAAGCATCGAATTAATTAATATTGCGAAAGAAAACAATGTTATTATACTCTGCTTTCCTCCTCATACGACTTATCAGCGCTCCAGCCACTGGACTTTTCTTTTATGGCTCCCCTTAATACCTACTATGAACAAGAACTCAGAAAGTGGTTGATCAACCATCCCGGACGGGCGGTCACAATTGCACAAGTCGCAAAACTTTACGGTGCTGCTTTTCAAAGAGCAGCCTCAGTTCAAACAGTAGTTAAGGGCTTTGAGAAAACTGGTATATATCCTTTTAACCGTGACGTGTTTCTTGATAGCCTATTTGCACCAGCTGAAACAACGGAGAGACCCTTAGATCAAAATCACCAACCTAACCTTCCTTCGACATCAAACAACTGTCCTACTCTTCAAACGTCAGTGTTCATGCCTGAACAAGATGGTCAAGGAAGTACCTCGTGTCTCAAATTACCCAATTTGGGTAATGATACTCTTTTTGCCTCTAATCAGTCACCCTGGACAAAAAGACCTATTCGTGCCTCGAATCTGCCACTTTGGATAAAGAATCCTCTTCTTGCCTTCTGCCAAATTATGTGTCAAATCCTTCCAATGCTGTAGCATTGGTACCCCCAATCCAACCTAATTGGCCCACTTCTGGATCATCCATGCAGCTTCCACTTCTTTTGATATAATGTCACCAAGGTGTCTGATGCCACCTCCCCAAGAACAAGAAAGGATCAGAAATACAACACATAACAGAAGATGCGGCGGAACCGCAGTTTTGACGTCGTCACCTTACAAGAAAGAACTAGAAGATAAAGAAGAAAAAAAGAAAAAAGAAACTGTTTAAAACGTCTAAAATGCTGAATAAAACAAAACTAAAGAAAGTTAGCAACAGTAGCGATAAAAAAACTTTCCAAAAACTGATGTTGGTCCCACATTAAAGAAAATGAAGTTCGAAAACCAGAACGACTCTTCCTCATCTGAAAAAGAGGCAGTGATGAGGCTTGCATATTTTGCAGTGAGATTTTCTCTGCTTCTAAGGACAAAGAAGGGTGGATTCAGTGCTCAGGATGCTTTGGTTGGGCCCACGACGCATGTAGAAATGCAGATGAAGAAGACTACTATTTCCTGTGCAATTTTTGTAGACGTAACACTTAAAAACTCACAAAAAATAAATTTAAAATTGTCTATGTTTTATCCTGTCACAAGTATAGTAAGTATTTGTCGTAAACTTACAATGTGTGCTATTGTAATTAAACGTTAAAAAAGATAAAAAATTAAAATAAAAAAAATCCATTGGTTTTAATGAGGTCCCCATTTTACCCGAATGGTGGTCTAGAAAACGGTACATTTACATTTTTTCATAATTTTAGATTTTGACCAAGTAATAAATACAATAAGTCTGCCAAAAAACTTATTTAACTTATTTAAACTTATTTAGTGTTAAAGTAATAATCACCAACTCTATTGCACTTTAAACAATGTTAATTACAGTATTCACTTCTTGTAAATCACTAAAAATACACTAGCGTCCCCATTTTGGACAACTCTCTCTTAAATGTTCCAATATCTACTTTTCTAGAGCTTTTTTATCACCAATAATAAATACTGGCTACCCCTATCGATTAGGTGGTTTAAGGCCTACAAATTACACTTATGTCATAATTCTTCAGGGTGGCTTTAGGAATCATTACAGTCTGTATGTGGATTGGTCGCGTTTAAATATGTCTCGTAAAATACAGCATGAACTTGACAACCACAAAAAATATGCCTACAGCAACACTGCAATCTGTCCAAGTTCTATAACATAAGTCAAGATCGATAACCCCAACGAGGGTGATCTATACAAAACCAATTAAGTAAACCAGATTAAAAAGGCTACTACCCAAATATTAATATCACTTATATGTGAGAAATTGGGACACAATATGTTTACTGCAAGACTTTTGCATATTATGGGAGGGTGGAGTAATCTTATTGATAGAAATAATATTTTATTTAGATGGTTGAATTTTTAAAACGTGACACCAGAACGTTTAAATACCCAACACTGAGTTGAAAAACTTGAAATTCCGGAAATGAAAAGATAAAGCAAGAGAATACCAAAATTCATTTCTCGAAAGTCGAATTAGAAAAGGGAATGATATTGTTTTCTGTAGAAAATTCTACGAGTTTCTCGTTGAGTATCCCCTCGTAAAGTCTTTCTGAGAACGTTAAGTAGGGATATCGAACTATATGAGTCGAGGTCGGTCAGAGTTTTTCTCTGTTTATGGAGCATGACAGTGTTGGATACCTTCCAAGCGTTTGAAAAGTAACAGCGCTTAAGAAAAGCGTTGAATATTTAGTTTCTTAATAAAAAAAATTGTTGTTACACACAGTTCCTGTGGATCTTGTCAGGACCTGGTATGTTAGTGTTGCCAATTTGGCACAGGTACTCCAATTTTTTTAATTTTCACAATTTTTTTGTCTAATGTTATTGCTCAACCCGAGTTTGGACTTTACACTGTCACTCTGTCACTTCTAGTAACTTATTACTGAAAAATAAATTATTAGAAGTGTCAGTGTAAAATATATCTCTAAATATATTTTATATATGGAATTGGTCTTGAGTATCAATCTATTATCATAATTGATGTTAATCTACTATCATAAAAATGTTTAATATATGGATTAACAGTATTTTTGATGGCTTAGTTCATTTGAGTCCGATTCAAACAGGGTTGTAGAAATAACTTTTAAGTATGTAAGTCTAAAACCCTCTTTGAAAATTGATTATCTGGAATGTCCTCCACCCTCTTTACTTTGAATAATGAAAGTTGTATTAAATATACATTTTTTTTAGATTATTCGTGTAGGCGGACAATCAAAAAATGAAAATTTAAATAAATACAATATTCGGAATAGAAAAAGATTAATGGATTCTCCAAATCGAGCTGTCTCTGAAAGACATTTGGTAGTAAGGAACCTGAGGCGAGATATCGAATCAATAAATGAATGTTTAAATATAATCGCAAAGTATGACACTGTCATTGCATTTGATGCGTTTTCAGGTGTGGTACCAGAATATGCGACATCTTGGTTTGCAAATGTCAAAAATGATGATATTATTAACTGGTTATTTGGAGGCCATAATAGACAATTTAGAAGAAGACCTGTAAATAATGCGCAAAATAATCAAAATGTAAGTATTTGCAATTAGAAATGAATGAATGCAATTTTTTTAGTCAATGAAAACGTAAGTATTGATACATGAAAAGTATAAATAGATTTTACTCGAAAATGGTACACAACAGGGACTTTAGACAAGAGTATTATTTTTTTTTATGTAAAAAACTTTAAATTTGTTAAATGTTATATTAAAATAATGAAATTTCGAAACATAAAAAGGTTATTAATAAAAATATCCAATATCCCTTCTAAATAGCCGATTATAACTGCAATTTGTAGTTTTCTTATGTGTATTCGGAAACACCTTGTATATGCAGTCTATATCCCTGTATCGTTGCTATTATAGAGGATTTATAAATTCGTAGAGTGACTAATATTTTAATATTAGGTCACTAAGGGTAATTTTGATAACATTCATTAAATCAAATACAAAATAAGTCAAAATTCAAGAACATTATTTTCTTGGTCATTTTAAATGGATCACCTTGTATTTTATATCACTAACGAAAAGTAGTATACCAAACCTCATTTCGATAAAGTATTCGCAATACCTAAAGTTAAATTTTTTTTTTTTAGATATTTTCATGTTACTATCAAAGTATTAATTAGGTAGATATTTAAATGTTTATTAATAATTATTGAGTTAGCTATTATTGATTTGTCAAAACCTGATAGTTTACTATTATTATATGTTAGTTTATTAATCAAGTAAGGATACAGAAGAAAAAACAATTGACTTCAATTAGAATTTATAAAAAAAATTTATTTAACGACAAATTAAAAAAAAACAAATAAAAACACAAAAAAATAAAAAAAAAACGCATTCTACTTAGATAAGGTGTTAAAAATTACCTCCCAAAATATTTATGCATGCTTCAAAGCGGTTACTGAAAGAGTTGCTTACATTATGAAGCAAATAAATATTTTGCAATACAATTCGGTTTCTATCTTTCATATTGTTCTTTGTTGTTTCAAGTGTTTTATACACTTTATTCTTTACAGAATCCCCAAATCTGAGTGGCCACCTTACCGGTCCATCTCTTCCGTTCCATCTTTCACTAAACTGATCATTATGTTCATCACATATTCATCACATGTATCAATATACGGTAATAATTCTTTATGGTTCACGATTAGCAATAAAACCCAAATACATCTCATCGTAAGTTCAATAATAAAGTTATTATTTGCACATTACATATTTTAATTTTCATATTTTCTTAAGGTATACGTATACATGTTCCATGATATAAAGATACCAGATATGATATTGCTACGCACTAAACTCGTACACTCACGCGCATGACGTCACCTTGTGCTAAATTTTCAAAATGTATTCATGCTTGCGGATGAAACAAACTGTTGAAATTCTAATATAATTTACTTGATGTTTTATTAACTACGTGAATTTAAGCTTAAGTATTCAAATTACTATATTGTAAAAAATAACAATTTTCCCATAAGAGTGAAGTTTGATGGAGGGAGCCATAGCCGAATGTCACAAATTGCAAACTATTTAATGTGATTTTCATACAATATATATTTTATATATAGTAGTTAGGTATTATTGACTGACACGTTAGGTAAACTATTTCTTTTAAGGTTGCAGTCATTAATAGGGCAGAATAAGTAAAACTCTTTGTTCTTTTATTTAGCTTTCACAAAAATTTATTAGCTTCTTCAGGATATGCTAAAATATGGTTATAATTATTTAATCTCCTACCTATATATATATATATATATATATATATATATATATATATATATATATATATATATATATATATATATATATATAAATATTTTTCTTTTGAGGTTGCAGTCATTAATAGGGCAGAATAAGTAAAACTCTTTGTTCTTTTATTTAGCTTTTACAAAAATTTATTAGCTTCTTCAGGATATGCTAAAATATGGTTATAATTATTTAATCTCCTACCTATATATATATATATATATATATATATATATATATATATATATATATATATATATATATATATATATATATAAAGTAGTTAGGTATTATTGACTGACACGTTATGTAAAATAAAGTTTTATTTTGAGGATGCAGTCATTTAAGTAGGGCAGGATAAGTAAAACTCTTTGTTCTTAAGTCAAGCTTTCGCAAAATTTATTTGCTTCATCATAATATGCTAAAATATGTTATGGTAAATACAATGAAATTAGAATTAAGAAAAACATTGTATAAAACTATATAAAAACTTACAACATGAGGTTAAACCATTAAATTATTAAATTCACAAAACATTATTAATTTTTCCTAAATTATATTTTTATGCAAGTACAATAATATTTTAATTTTAAATATACTATGACATTGATTAATAATGATGTTTGATATATGTCAGAAAGACACTCGTGTCTGTTTTTATTATTGATAATTAGCTCTATAATATTATGCTTACGTAAAAAGTGGCGCCAAATATGAATATTTAAATTTTTGAAAATATAGTATTTATAGTCAGAAAATCATATATTAGAAAATTAAAGTATTAATTTTCGTAAGATAGAATGTAATTATATATATTGCTGAGTTTGTTAATATCAGTTTTTTTATTAACGCATTGATATTTATTTATGCATACCATTTCTAAAAATTCTCTTTTATTTAATTGGTTTTCACGTCTTAATATATTAGTTTATTATATATTATAGAGCTAATTATCAATAATAAAAACAGACACGAGTGTCTTTCTGACATATATCAAACATCATTATTAATCAATGTCATAGTATATTTAAAATTAAAATATTGTACTTGCATAAAAATATAATTTAGGAAAAATTAATAATGTTTTGTGAATTTAATAATTTAATGGTTTAACCTCATGTTGTAAGTTTTTATATAATTTTATACAATGTTTTTCTTAATTCTAATTTCATTGTATTTACCATAACATATTTTAGCATATCCTGATGAAGCAAATAAATTTTGCGAAAGCTTGATTTAAGAACAAAGAGTTTTACTTATCCTGGCCTACTTAAATGACTGCATCCTCAAAATAAAACTTTATTTTATATATATATATATATATATATATATATATATATATATATATATATATATATATATATATATATATAACAATAACACTTCATCTAATTTATATAACGATGCACGTCATCGGCGTCATAGCCTGTGACGTTACATGATACCAACACAAAATATTTAGGGTGTAGGTGTGTTCTTTTTTAGAATCACTTTACCGAGTACACTGGCATTACAGCCACTAGACATATTTTATTATATACGCGTAGAAATAATATTTAAAAATTTCTATTAATGTTAACTTAAAGAAATACACAATAATATGTTTCATTTAATTTGTATAAATGCATTATAAAGCGTTTTTATCAAGAACATTTGTTCGGAACACACTGTAACTGTAATCGAACAAAGCTAAAATTTTGGCATAAATTGGTAACACTTATTTGACAGTTGCGATGTTGACAATTTTTGTACTTCATTATTTTGAATTTTAAAGTGAAGATCTCTTGTTTTATATTTTTAACTATTTAATAAAATCTGTTCTTTTTAGAACAAAATTAGTGTGTTTTATTTCAAAAATGTCACGTAAGAATTTAAATAGTCGTTGTAAAGAGATGGTAATACTTTTGCAATAATTATGTAATCTATATGATTTATGAAAATGGAGTCAGGATTTTTTTATACTTTGGCAACTATGTCAACTTCGATCTCTGACGTAGATAATGACGTAAGTCGTTATCTAAATTAGATGAAGTATATATATATATATATATATATATATATATATATATATATATATATATATATATATATAAATATTTTTCTTTTGAGGTTGCAGTCAATAATAGGGCAGACTAAGTAAAACTCTTTGTTCTTTTATTTAGCTTTCACAAAATTTATTCGCTTCTTCAGGATATGCTAAAATATGGTTATATTTATTTAATCTCCCAACTATATATATATATATATATATATATATATATATATATATATATATTAATAAAGTATTCAACTAGTGAATTCAGAGGTTTAGCGGTCGTTCAGGTTGGCAAAATAAAAAACAGAAATCAACTACTTCATAAGATTATAGAAGACATTATTTTTTGTTTGTCTTTATTGGAGAACCAACTCTAAATGAAGCCAAATGTACGTTTAAAATTTTGTTAAATCTTCGTTTCTGCGAATGATATTATTTTTTGCAAAGTTTTTGTGTCCTTTGTTTCTGTTTTTTTTTAAGTTAGTCCTAAATAATGAGTAAACTTAAGTACATATATAATAACATCTTTAATACTACATATTGAGTTAGAACTGATCAAGCTTTAGAAGTATAAAGCGAAACGTGTTCTATAAACTTATAAAGTAGTTGACTTCTGTTTTATATTTTGCCAACCTGAATGACTGATTCATCACTTCAATTACTTTCAACAAAGTGCTTAGAGCAAACACGAGCAAATTTAACATTAAAATTATCCTGGCGTTTACACAAATGTTTCCAAACAGCTTGCATTTCCTTGTCTTTTGGAAAGCTATAAAATGCTGTACCGGGTACAAAACTCTTGCACATATTGTCAACGGCACAACCATACACTGCACACCTCATATCGGGAAAAATTTAAAGCCTTGTAAAGGTCGATTCAGACACATCAGTCACGTGTCGTCACCATCTCGTCACAGTGATTGCGCCAAATCGAACAATCTGTCATACAAAATATTCTTTAATACAAATATGGCGCCGGCATTCACACTCATCAGTTGACGAACAGTTTGCCAGCTGTCAGATAGTTGATAGTTCTGTGACCAAACAGGACCGGTTCGGTACCGTGACTGTGACGTGACTGATGTGTCTGAGTCGACCTTAACACTTTTAAAATATTATTTTATTAATGAACCGTAAATGTACATAAACGTCAAAACACAATATGGCAAAATTTAGCACAAGTTGACGTCACAAAAGTCATGCATAAGCCACGCCCACATGCGCGGTATCTTATCTGTTTGTATTTGTATCATGTACATGTTCGTTAGATTAGTACATGTTTTCAAGTCTCGCACAAACTATCGGTTTTTCAACGAACGCTTTGACGGTTCGCATTACATATTTGGACGAAAGTGTTTTTGGTTCTGGCGCGTCTGAGTATATAATTTTTAGTAGAAATGGAGTGGTTGGAAGAAAATATTATAAAACTTTTGATGCTTACCGTGAAAAGTCATTTCGTGTTTAACAGGATAGTGTGTAACCAATGTCGTTGCTTATTTTCTTTTTGTACAAACTTGCCCTTACCAAGAAAGCACCACTCATCGCAAAAACGGCGTAAGTTTTATCTCGCGACAGAGACATGATTATCTACAATTATTAAATGTTCGTAAGTTTTCTTTGGATCGCGGAAGATTCGTCAAAATGAAAAATGAAAAGACGCTGTCTCATTTTTCAAATCTGAAGCTGTATACTATGTGGTTTTCCTGCAAGTGGTTACTCAGCTAAATAGTGTTTGTTTATCATCATTATCTTTGTCTTGCCTTTATTAGTTTTAAGACATGCATTACTTGCATTACATAAATGTTGAAATAAGTCAGGTGACAAAATGCTTTCTTGTCTAACCCCTCTCTCTGCTGATTGTCGTAACTGATTGTCGCACGGTCGTAGCATCCTCCTGGTTTTCAGAGGTTTCTGGGCGCTCAGCGACCGCCGCTCTCGAAGAGGATCTCAAGTTTCGAGAGTCCATCTTCGTTCAGGAGTTTATTAGGATTCCGGTTTATACGCATGAGAAGCTCCGTCGAGCCTCTGTGTTAGGTGACGGGACACGGACAATCAGAATTCTCCAACAGTTCGAGCTTTCTTACAGACTTAATTCTTACAATGACAATGTGTGTGTTAGAATTCTGTTGCGTGGTGTATGTCTCAAATCCACAGAAATGCCGGCCTTCTCACTTCGAGTAGCTGCGATCCCTTAAGAGAGGCACAAGAAAGCCGGTTGTGTCGACTCTGCTAGCTGCCCGTCGCTTTGTA